TGTTCTATATACGTATTGCTTCCTAACATCAAAATTAGCAATCTCTTAACCCAATTTGTTTTTAGTTGATGCTTGAAAAATTAACGGTTTAAAATTACCCAAAAAAAGTTATATTTGTAAATTCACGAAGCATTTTACTGAGAGATGGTTTATACATTTTATACTCAGAGTTGAACAGCGTCAAATAAAATCAAAAAAGTTTAAAGTAAGTATTTTTAACAAAAACGTTTTCACTAAAACATTTTGTTGTTGTATAGAAAATACTGCTTGTATTATTTCTAGTGTTGTTTGTATTTTTTTTTTGTTTTAGTACCCAATAATATAAATTAGTACGTTTATGAAATATTAGTTAATAATGTTTTAAAATGTCCAGTTAAACTTATATTTTTCGATCTTATCACGAATAATAAGATCAGAGAAGATAGAGATGAACTTGTATAATTGCATATTATTTTTATTATATTTAAGAAAATCTTTGTTTTCATAAGTAAATATGTTAACTAATATTTTTTTACTGCTTTATAAGGTGGTTTGTTTAATGTTGTTTCGTGTGCAAATTACACTGGGGAAATTACAGAATGGATTGGTTTTGCAATTGCAGCTTGGAATTTGTACGCATTTTCATTTGCTTATTTTACAATGGCTTTTCTAGTTCCAAGAGCTATACGACATCACAGGTTAGTAATAGTTTGTTTGCGTTTAAATAAAAGCAAATGTTTTAGTCTACTAATTAGATTCAAAATGTTATCGACTCATTACGGCGACATTGAAAAGTTAGTTCATCAAACATTCATGTACGTTTTTGTTATTGAAGCATTGTATCCAGGCAACAATTAAAATTATATTGAATTTTAAAGATATATTAGATTAGATAAAGCTTTTAAAATTAGACTAAGCAAACAAAATTCATTTTTATTGCCGCGAGTTGTTTTTTGAATCATAATAAAAATTACAAAAATAGAATAATTTTAGATGTGCTCCATATTTTCCAAAACAAATTTTGAGTCTATTTGGCTAACACCTGATGACTGAGTTGTAAAAACCAAATCCAAAGGTATTCACTAAACGGAATTGAATACTAAAATTGCATTTAATTCCTTTCTTATTTTCAATTGCATTAAAACAGCCATTCGACCAGAAAATTAATGGAGATTAAAGTCGTCAATCTTCAATAAATTTTTGAGTTTATTTTTAACTATGGTTTGACGTTCCAGAATAAAAACTGCAATTAAAACTTAAAAAACTCAACCTTTCTCGCGTAGACACTTGTTATAACCAAAAAAAAAAGTACTTGGACTTGTTCCAGTTACAGAGTTTTAGGCCTGTGTTGTTTTATTGATAGTGGTCTAGTTAGTCGTCTAAATATACACAGAAACTACGGCCTTGTCGAAGTTCAGATCATTTTTTTTTATTCAGATGAAAACCTTTAACGTTTATCAATGAATTGTGTGATCGTTGTTCTTTTTTGCTTGATTTTTTTGATTTCTTCAAATTCTGAGTTTGTGGAGTATTTAAGCATCAGGAAAATTAAGATTAATCCGGAATTATAACAAGCTTCTAGTTTTGTCACTTATTCAATGAATTCGATAGCTGGCACATCAAATATGAATGTCTTTAGTAGTATTTAAACCATTATTCTTGTTTAATTTGTTTCCTAATCAATTATGCTTTCTCTCTTGTTTAGAAAGCTAGCACCCCGAATAACACTAGATAACAATAAAACTGAATAAAAATAACACTTCTTTCTGTGTAAACGTAACATTGAGAGTTAAAATATTAACCACACCTAACTTTATGTTGTGATTTTTTAACTTATGACACAGAGGAAGAAGTTTCAAAATATATTTTTTTACCTTTTTGTAAAGGTAAAAAATATATTTGTTGTGTTTTAAAAGTTTTTAAATAAATTTTTGTCTTTAAAGAATTGGCACAACTAGTTTTTCAGCACTACTTTATATATAGAACTAAAACTTCTATAATAATACACAAATAATAATACAATATAATGTAATAAAATTATAACTTAATTCGTTGTTGAAAATAATAGTGCTTATGAAAAGTAAGTTTTTGACTTACAGTCCACCAAGCATTGCCATTTACTTAACATTACATTTCTTTTGGTTGAGTCAACAAAAAATTATAGTTGGCTATATGTTATAGTTGCATCGTAATTCATTGGCTTTTTGTTACATCAAGTTGGCATTGCGCATGTTTCATTAAAATAATCTTAGTAAGCGCCAATCTTAAAAAAAAAAATTAGTTAGCACAATCCATATTTCACAAGATAAGCATTGACCACTCCTAAAACTATAGTCAAAATAACTATCAGGCTTTTCGATAAAAATATCCATAGTAATAACTAGTTACTGATGTTAATATTCTCTTTAGTTTTGCTGTTAATCATCTCCAGCTGCTTAATAGAGACCACATAGACCTATTAAGATTTGAAAAGATAGGTCAAACTTGATATTCAACTTGCTAATAACTTATATTTGATGCTTTTTTTCTATTTATTATTTACCATTTACACTTTGAATTTTTGTTTGTTAAACACGTTTACTCTTGGTCCGCGGTTATGGCGCTCGATCTATTGTTGAACTAGTTTACTTCGATTCTCTGTATTTGAACGCTGCAAGGCAATCAGCTGAATGATGTCTAGTTACAATTTTCAGACTTTCAACTCCACTTTTTGAAGTATTCCCCAAATAAGATTTAAAAATTAAAAAAGGCACAAATAATAAAACCGCAATACCAGACCGAGAATCGCACAAGTCATTTGTAATTATTCAAAAAGTTATCGTTTTGTTTCTAGCTAGTTTTTACAATATTACTGAACTATTTCATTGGGTAAGCAATAAACTTTGTAAAAAATGACCAATGCACCGTGGGCCAGAAGTAAAAAAAAACCCTAAAATCAACTTTTATAATGTACAGTGGTGGACAAAAGTCTTGGAACAAAACATTTAACGACCAAAAAAAATTATTTTTGATCTAAAGTATAAATTTTGAGGGTTTGATGCTTTAGTTTTTACATAGCAATATGTTTATAGTTACATATTTGTATATTGCGCAATTTATTATCGTTTTTTGTTATTCATAAGCAATTTATCAGCTATATTATGCCAGAACTTTTACCTAAAAAAAGAGGAATTATTGCTGCATTATATGAACAAGGTTTAGTTCAAAGAGAAATATCTGAAAAGTTTGGTTGTTCATTATCAACTGTAAGTAGAACTTTAAAAAGGCATAAAGAAGAGCCCCAATTAAATTTTACTTCAAAGATGAGATCAAGCAGGCCCAGACCAACCACCTCAAGAACTGACAAACTTATTGGCCGTATCAGCCATGCAAATCCACGGCTACCTGCACACGAGATTTTGAAAGAAATTTTTATTGAGAAAAAAGTAAGTGACCAAACAGTTAGAAGAAGGCTTTTGGTTGATTTCAAAATGAAGGCATGCAAGCCAGCAAAAAACCTCTTTTATCATTAAAAAACCTAAAAGATTGAAAAACATTTTGGCAGCGCTACAAAAATTGGACTGGAGAAAATTGGTCTAAAGTTCTTTTTTCTGATGAAACATGTATTAAACAATTTAATGTTACAAACAACTTTGTAAGAAGACCAAAAAACTGTAGATATATGCCAAAATATACAGTTAGCAATGTCAAGGCTCCTGTGTCTTGTATGGTTTGGGGTGCTATTTCTGCCAAAGGACGTGGGCCATTATGGATAGTGCCCATGAATACCACAATAAACAGCAAAGTCTATTTGGATGTTATGAAAGAGAAGTTGCCACCTTTCATGTAGATCTTGAATTGCACTTATTTCCAACAGGATGGTGTACCATACCCCACAGCCAAAATTGTAAAGAAGTAGTTTGCTGATGAAGGAATTCAAACCCTTGAAAATTGGCCTGGGTCATCACCAGATCTTAATGTTATTAAAAATTGTTGGCATATTATGAAAGTAAAAGTTGCTGCCAAAAAGCCTAGATCCTATAATGATTTAGTTGAAGCAATCAAATCAGTGTGGATCCATAAAATTACACCAGACTATTGTACAAAACTTGTTAACAGCATGCCAAAACGTATCCGAATGGTAATTGACAATAACTATGCTTCCATTAAATATTGAACTTTTATCATGTATGTACATGCATCATTTTTAAAATTGTTATAAACACTTATTTTATTGAAAAAAATAAAAAAATTTACTAATAAATTGTTTTTCACACAAACATATTGATTTCATAACATAAAATATGATGTTCCAGGACATTTGGCCACCACTGTAGTAATTTTTTTTTTATAAATGTAATTTAGACACTTGGGGTATTTCTGAAACTAAAATAGTTTTTTCCCTTCTATGATTTTTGAGCTCAGTATATCAGTTTTACAACAAAAGTTACAATGTTTTATTTATTATTTACTATTTTTTATCTTTCAAAGTTACAATATTTTATCTTTAAAATATTGATGAAATAAAAAAATCATATATAAAAAAAAAAATGAGGCCAGTAAGACAATTTTACAATATTTTAATTTCTTAACGGTATATATAAGTAGATTGACATCGTATATTGAAATAAGACAAAGAAATATGAAAATTTATTTTTTTTATGCTTGCTTTTTTCAAAAGGTTAGACAATTTTGACCCACTGTTTAAAGTTGTATAACAAAAATAGTATTTACAATAATAAATAAACTTAGGTAGACATTACTACCATTATTATTTAAAAATATTTCATTTATTTCTTTCATATAAAAATTTCGGTTCCTTACATTGTACTAATTACAAATTTACTTTTTATATTTTATAGGTTTTACCAAGAAAAGTTTAAAGACTATCCAAAAAATAGAAAAGCTGTCCTGCCGTTTTTATTATGAAAGCTGTCCTGCCGTTTTTATTATGAAAGCTGTCCTGCCGTTTTTATTATGAAAGTTGTCCTGCCGTTTTTATTATGAAAGAAAATTACTGAGAATAGAGTACCATTCTTGAAATCTTTTATAAAGATTTAGGAAAAAAAAAAAGTTAATAAAAATGAAATAGTTATCAAATTTAAATCAATTTAAATTTGATAACTATTTTTATAATTTAATTTGATAACTAATTTTTATAAAATATGGTACAACAATATAACTTTACTTGATAATGGGATATAGCATGGTATAACAATAATATATCTTTACTTTATATATGATACATTATTATAACTTTAGTTTATAAAATTGGTTTATAAAATTTTTAGCAGATGTAATTTTTCCTAATAGCAAAATTGGTTCTAAACTAAAATTTAGCTTTTTCCTCTATTATTATGATTTATAAATTTAGAAGAAAAATCAATACAGTCAATACAATTCTGCATTTTTTTTAGAATCGTTTAGCAAGGTATGTTATATAAAAATCAATACAGTCAATACAGTCAATACAGTTCTGCATTTTTTTTAGAATCGTTGGCAAGGTATGTTATATAAAAATAAAATTTTGCATAAAATGCAAAATTTTCTTTTTATTTAACATATTTTATATATTTTCAGCTAAATGCTTGACGAAATGATAATTTTTATATTATATTTCTTCTTCCGTTACAGCTTATTTTTATTAATGATTATTAGTTAATAAGACATGTGTTTTCCACAAGTTTTTCATTTACAACTTAGGCTCCAATATATTGAAAAAAACATTATTTGAAGATACATAGTTCATTCATGAACTAAAATTTTTTATATAATTGGAATTAAAACGCGATAATTCTAAACTTGCTTATTAAATATTAATGCAACCGTGAAAAAAGTTTTTTTCGTGTGTTTTTTATTATATAAATTATTAAAATTATTATAATTAATGTAAACTATTAATTTTAATTTATATGTTTTTTAAACTGAGCTAACTTTTTTTTTAACTTCCCGCAGATACTCAAAGTTGCCATTTTTTAAAGAGCAATTATTTAGTGAAAAAGCAATAATTTCGAACTTTTATTTCTTAAACCACACCGAACTTCCATATATTATATATCAATCGGGGGAATATTATATTGGCTTTCAGAGTAAAGAATTTTATAAAATTACATTTCATGTCGTAAAAATGCAGGAAAGATAATTTTATAGACTAGGAAATAATAGCATGCTTGAATGTGACTTGGATTAAATTCTGTATGTTTCTGTAAAAATCCGATTTCTTATGGATAAAATTCGACCCTTCTTATTTTAATCCTAATGTTGCCCGGACCCGCCCAAAAGCAGCTATTTTCAATTTAAAAATGTTTCTACTTAAATTTATTAATTTTTTTTATTTTTTTTACATAAAGCATGACAGTCGTTTTTAATCAAATTGTATAGTATTGTCATAAAAAGATATACTTGAGGTAACTTTAAGACCTACTATTAATGTAACCTCAAAATACCTTCTTTATATTATTATAACCTCAAAAGCTTCCGCGAGTTGAAAGAATTTACAAAAAATCTTTTTACCTTCATTTTTTGTACAAATTGGATATTAGACAATGACATGCATAATGAAAAATGAATAAAGGTTATGTAAAAGCTTAAAAAAGTCTTATACAAAAAAGATTTTAGGAAAAATTAAATTTTCACGTAGACAAACCCCATCCGGGTGGCACAGGTTTATCTAATAATGGCAATACTGCATGGCAAGCTTTTTCTGGTCAAATATTGTTATCAGAAACTTTGGATATAGATATAATTCTTATTGTCCATTTAAGAATAATATTAATATGTTTGTTTTGTCAAATTCAAATTGATCCAATTAAATTAAAAAATTATTGTCTACAAACAGTTTAGTTAGATTAGTTAGAAATATTCATGGTATAAAATTCCTGCTTGTGTTTATAAAGTTTCAGGTCATGGAGCTCAAATCATGATTGAATTAGTTTTGCCGATTGGAACTTTTGGCAAAAATATAACAAATGTCATAGAAAAGATCGTATGGATATTATATATATATCGTATCGTATCGGTATTGTATTTATCGATCGAATCAGATCCTAATACTTCTAGTGTTATTTTGAAAAATTGTTTAAAGTCTGTATGTAAATTAGTACAACTAGAAAAGATGAAAATGATTGAAAATTCTACAAGAAGTAAGGATGTTAATGAAGAGGTTTTACCTGAATAATTGATGTCTATCGACAATTGGATTGCTTTGGTAAAAAAGCAGTTTTTTCAATAGCGAATAAATACTCAGTTATAACTATGAAATATACTTTTGATTAAAATAATTTGAAACTATTATTATTAAATTATATTAGTGCTTCTATTTTGCATGTTTTTTCTTATTCTGCCAGTCCCCTTACTTAGGGAAAATCTGTTTCGTATTTTTTTTTTTTTTTTTTAAATTTTGAGTTTTATTTTTAATCTCATAACTTTATTTTATGTATATTAAAGATTATATTAAAAAATAAAATTGGAGCGTATTTTTTAGATCTGAATAAAAATGACTGTCATGTTTTTTGTAAAAAAAAAAAAATTAATTCAAGTAGAAACATCATTAAATTGGAAATAGTGAAATTATTGCTTTATCACAAATTAATTGTTCTTTAAAAAATGGCAATGTTATGCATATTCAACGACAAAAAATGTTTAAATAAAATTTAAAAAAAATTTACCAGAAGGACTTAATTAAGATCATTAACATACCAATCAAGTGATCCTAAAGACTGCACTCCCCTTACACCTAATTGTTGTTTATTTGTATAATAAGGTGATAAGTTTGCCGCGGATGCAGTTGGTATAACTTCATTCAAACCAAGATGGAGGTAACGTTGATTTGAAGAATTAATTAAGTTAATTTTCACTGATTAAAATAATGGTTACACAATTACACAATTGTTTAGAAACTTGGTTTCTAACGGGAAATATTAAAATCAATTTGTTTTATTTTCAAGCAGAAAGTTATTTCTAATAGCTAAGATAAAAATAAAATATTGTTTTTGTAATTCTATAAATATGATATGAATAATCTTTCAGGTTTGTCTTCAATTCGTTTTATAAAAATTTGTCGGAGACGAACTATAGCAAAAAAATCAAGAATGTTATTAGCCATATTCGTAAAAATTATCATACTTAATGTAAAAATTATCATACTTAATGTAAAAATTATCATACTTATTATAAAAATTATCATACTTAATGTAAAAATCGTGCTGTCAATTTATTAAATCTTGGGTGGTTAAATAATGAAAGTAACCAATAATAACTCCCTACGTATTAAAGTTAAAAAAAAAATTATACATTTGTTGTCCGTTGGATTAGTGTTTATCTCATGGGTCCTTCCCACAGAAATATAAAAAGTAAAAACGCTTATCCTAAACAGAGGGTGTAAATTGGTGTAAGTCCTTCTTTCCTACTGGCCAATATCGAATTTTATTTGACAATTTAAAATAAAGTTGGCACACTTTCAGTTTTTAATGTCAGCTAATTCCAAAAATTAGCCTAGTTAGCAAATTTAAAAAATTAAGCACCTTTTTTTTTTGTTGTTGGTAATTATTTTATGGTATTTACACCCACCCACCCCTCTCCCTCCTCCTCCTTTCTCCTTCTTCATTCTCGATAAAAAAAATAGTTTAATTTTTTTATGATTTGTTGATAAGGAGTTTGTTAAAAAGTCCTGGAACATCATATTTTATGTTATGAAATCAATATATAAGTTAATATTACCAGCAAAATGGTAAGCAGTTGCAAAAATAATGGAGTTATCGAAGTCATTAAATAATAAAATATAAAGAAGAGGTAATAATACTGACCTTTGGGGAAGACCATTAGAACATTTTATTTTAACAGATTTTGAGTCAATAATGAAAACAAGCTGCAATCTTTTGTAAAAAAAAAAAAAAAAAAGGAAGTAAAGCATTTGAGCGAAAGTCCTATAATTACGTAATATTTTAATATTTTAAATAGGGTAGAGTGATTTACTGTATTGAGAGCTTTTTGTAGATCAACAAAGATACCACAAGCAAAGTTTTTATCATCAAGAGCTTTTCTAATTGATTCAGTGATTTTGATCAGTGAGTGGGTTGTGTCGTGAATAATATAAAACCCATACACGGTTTCGTATTTTAAGGTAATTAAATTTATCCAAGAATGCGTAGAGCCTTTTATGCATAGATTTTTATGATTCTAATGTTTCTAATGATTTTAAATCTTGGAATTTCTAGCTTTAAAACATATATAATTGCTGCAATATATTTTTTTAAATAAAGGTTGAACTAATTTGACGAAATTTGATCAAAAATAGAAATTTAAAAGAAAAAATAACCAGGGAGAGAAATTCGTTGATGTTTGTCAAAAAATGTTCCAAATACTTTTTTCAATTTCTAGACATAATTCTTTGCTGATCATATCTTCACATTTAAAAAATATCAAAAAAACATTTTCAATTAATGTTTTTAAATATTTTTACAATAATATAAGTTTAAGGGTAGGGGTCATTCTTTTAGTTATTTGTTTAAAAGTGCTAAGTTGGCGCAGTTTAGTCAAAAAGCATTATGTTCCTCTTTGTAAAAGCTGTTTAAATAAATATGGGTTTACTAGCGCCAACTTAGCACTTTTTGAGATAAATTATTTTATCTGATAAAATATTAGTACAAAAACAAATAAACTTGCCTAAATTTTAGTTTTTTTGTGAGGTATTATATTTAAAAAATTTAAAAATCCTGTAACCTATATAGTTAACATTCAATTTTCTAAAACTTGCAGTCTAAGTATGTTTTTATATACAATTATAACAGTTGCACTGTTTATATACTGACATATTGACATTTATTCATATACTTAGGTAATTATGACTTTTATGTTTGTTTATATCTATTACCTATCACCTATATCTATATCTATTACCTATTACCTATATCTATTATCTTTTACAAAGAAATTGACACATTAAAAATAACATAAATTCTAAATCAATCATGCTTTTACAACAATTTTTTTTTTATGAACTAGAAATTTATTGGCTTTCAATAAAAGGAATTTCAAATTTATTTTGGTAACATTGATTTTTGAACCATGTCTGAAAATTCATAAATCATCA